GACCCAGGCCAGAAGAACATCCCTCAAGAGCACGACACCCTCCCCTGGCCAAAACACCCCCAACCATAAGATCACTCGAGGGCACCCTCCCCCAGGATGCACAATCACATCCAACAGACGCGAAGAACATTACGGCGGATGCGTGCCGTGACAACCTGCGCGCTGCTTTCTGATAAAGTTTGGATCGCTCAATATTTTGTTTAATCAAAAAAATTGGATCGCTCAAATCTTGAATGATCGGCGGCCTTCCGATCGCCAGATCGCTCCATATTGGCCGATGCTGGGCCACCGGCGGCGCTCAACCTTCAACGCTCCCGGCGGAGCCGCGGCGACTCGGCACGATGCGAACCTGCCGCAGGGTACCCTTCACAATCTTGAACGATCGGCGGCCCTCCGATCGCCAGACCGCTCCATACTGGCCGATGCTGGGCCACGGGCGGCGCTCCACCTGGAACGCTCTCCCAGCGGCGTCGCGGCGAATCGGCGCGAGGCGAACCTGCCGCGGGGTACTCCAGATTTCGTAATAAAAGGGAGGGGGTCTGGACCCTCCAAGACAAGCCATTTCAGACCTCCCCCGTGGGAGAACCCTCCAAAACATCGTCCCCAGACCCCCCAGGCCCTCCAAGATAGCCTGGAAGAGACCCCCCCCCCGAAATGAGACCCCCCTCCCTTTGTTACGAAATCTGGAGTACCCTTCACGAACCGGCCTCGATCTTGCACCCGGTCCGACCGTATTCGTCCCGCTGCGGGAGGCACCCCGTGGGCCCGCGTGCGGCCGGCGGCGCCCTGCTACTCGGGCGAGGCCGCGCTCCGTGAAGGATCCGCCCTCCATCCTTCTGGCCAGCAGGAGCGCAGATGAGTAGGATGACAGAGTTCAAGGACTAGAGGCCTCCTAGATGGAGTCCGAGCAGAGGGGGTCGGAGGGTCGCGCCGCATCGGCGATACGTCGCCGTCGGCGATGCATCGGCGCCGCCGGCGTGGAGAAAATCGGGCTCCACGTCGGCGATGCATCGCCGATGCGGCGCGATCCTCCAACGCCATCTACTCGGACCCCATCTGGGAGGCCCAGCAGGACGTGTCCAGCGACACCCCCGCTTTGACAAAAGCATCTCCCTCCATAGCTGTGGTTGCAAGAGATTTTGGGCCAAGAGTTGCAGAAAACTAAACAACAATTTTGCAAATGAGCCGGCATGCAACCGTGCAAATTTTGCACAATCGACAACTCGGGGTCATAGATGTTTTTGGCAAGCATCGCATTTTGAAAAGGAGTGTGTCTGAGCTCACATGCTTAGCTCTTCGATGTTTGGAAACGAACGTGTGCGACGCGAAGGCAAGCGCCACATGTTGGAAACGCTGGGCGGAACGCCTGGCCCAGCCTTCGGACACGCTTTGTGGTGCGACAGGGGGGGGGGTCGTAAGAAAAAAAGAGGCATGCGGGAGGGAGAGGGAGGGAGGAGGTGGGAGTGGAGGTGAGAGTGGAAGAGGAGCAGCAGGTGGAGGACGAAAGGGAGGAGGAAAGGGGCAAGGAGAATGACAGGGCGAGTAGGGAGGAGAGAGTTCCGACGGCTTTTCCCAAACGCTTCCGCACGACGCAGAATCATCACTCCACGCAGGGGCTCCGCCCCCCTCCTCGGGCGCGGCCCGACCGACCCCCTTCCGCGACGAGCTCCTCGCCCTCGAGGCTGCCCGCACCCGCGATGCATCGGCGACGTCGGCGCGGAGAACATGAGGCTCCACGTCGAGCCGCATTGGCAAAGCATCGGCGATGCGGACCCCACCTACTCGGACCCCACCTGGGAGGCCTAGACTCACCCTTGGGCTGGGGGGGAATTGAAGACAAGCGGGTCACGACGACGAAGAGGCGGAGGGGGATGGGGAGGGCAGCACTGCTCCCACCCCACTCGACAGTTCTCGCTCTCGACACCCCGCACCAGTCCTTCCCGAAAGTGGAGGGGAGGAGCGCGAGGAGAAGGTCGCGGAGGTCTCCAGCGAGGGAAGAAGACCCAAACATCCGATGACTTGCTCTGTTCCGTGCGGGGTCCCTGCACGTTCCGGCCCTGCCCCCCAAAAGGCCAACCGACCCTCCCTCCCGAGCCGCTCCATTGGCTGTCCAGCGGCCCGGCGCGGGCACCCGGAGGCTGCGAGCAGGAACAACAAAAAACACGTGCGGTTGTGATCAGACGCTGTATGTCCGGGGAGGAGGAGGAGGGGGAGAAGCCCCCCTCCTCCTCCTCCTCCTCCTCCGCCTCCTCCTCCTCCTCCTCCTCCTCCTCCTCCTCCTCCTCCTCCTCCTCCTCCTCCTCCTCCTCCTCCTCCTCCTCCTCCTCCTCCTCCTCCTCCTCCCCCTCAAGGGGAGGAGGGTGGCGGACCAGCCAGCCCCCCCCCCACTGCTGTCGAAGGCCCTCGTTCCGAGGGGAGTTGGGAGGGGAGAAGGGGGAAGGAGGAGGAGGAGGAGCCCGTCTGGGCGGCCCCCTGACGACTTTCGGTCAGCCCGCCCGGCCAATGCTGTAGAACGCGCCCTCTGCGCGCTGCTCCTCCACGCCCTTGCTCGCCGCTTCGTCGAGGGGGAACCTCCGTGCCCCCCTTGGCGGCACGCAGAGCCACGACGACGACGACGACGACGACGACGACGACGACGACGACGACGACGACGGCGTCGCTGTTTTTTTGGCATGGCGGAAGTGGGCCTGGGAAGAAAGCAGGCCTGGATTGTTGCCCGCCGTTTGCGACCTCCTGAGGGCCGTCCAAAAACAACTCTGCAGGGTGAAGAGCCCGTCGCGGGGAAAATCGGGGGTCCAGGACCATCCAGTGCCCCTCAGGACATCTTTTCTCATAGCGAATGTCGTCATCGCGTTGAGGCCAGACAGACTTTCCTCATATCCGCCGCCTCGGGGGTCGATGTCCCGGGACACCACAAGACAGACGAGGATACAGTTGGGCCCCAGAGGGAGGGGCTGAATGTACCCCTGTCCACCGCCTCCCGAAGTCAAAAAGGTCCGCCCCCGAGGCGGTGGACACGGAAACAGTCGAGGTCGATCGGAGGGCCATAGGGATCTGGAGGGCATGGGTCGCAACGTAACCAGGTCCCGAGGGTGCCCTTGATTGGGCACGACGGGGCACCTACGGGCCCTGGCCTCGGTGGGACTCGAGGATACGTAGGTGCGTAGGTGATGAGATGGACAATGTGATGGAGGAGAGGGAGAAGCATGCATACGGCATGCTGGGAGCGGCTTCGCGCACTCCGCTGGCCCTAAAGAGGCCCGAAGAGCGCAGCCGTACCACCATTCTCTCCTCTTGACCTGTGAAAATCCGCCGACCCTGTCGGCGTGTGTGAGGGGCTTTTCCGTTCGAGACGTCATCCCCGTTGTTCGTTGGTCGTCGTCTCTGTCGTCCCCCTTCCTTGCGCCTCCCTTTCCGTGGGCCCGTCGCCACTCCCGTCCTCTTTCCCAGCAGGGGCCCCTGCTCAAGCGCGCCAGCCCAAATGAACTTCAGCAACGTCGCATTTGAGTCGAAGGGAAGCCCCTTCCCTTTGATCCCTCCCCCGCCGGGAGGGGGGGGGGGGGTAGCGGGGGGGTCCCGGGGGGGGGGCGCCACTCAGATACGACGCCCCCCCCGCGCCCAAGATGCCTCCAAGATGGCCCCAGAGGCTCCCCAAACGGCTCCAACAGGGTGCCCAGACGGGGAGCCCGACGAGCCCTCGGCGACAGAGGCTCCCAGGAAGCCCCAAGATGCCCCTAAGAGGCCACCACGAGACCCCCAAGAGGCCCCCAGGAAGCCCCAAGAGGCCCCCCCCGCCACATACGAGAACGCATGGGTCGCCCTCCAAGGTCGGCGGCACCGGCCGTAAGGCCTTCGCAATACGTGTGATCTGCGCTCTCAGGCTCCTGACGCACGTGCATAGGCAAATGATATGCGCCTCGAGGCCCCTGGGAGATGTAAATCTACGGACGATTGGCACTTTCAAACTCACGGGCGCCTCCGTTCGGCGCACCCCTCACGCATTTCGTGAATCATGGGCGCACAACTGGCCTCCGAGACGGCTCCGTGGAGTCTCAATTCGGCAACCGCCCATCACGCATGTCGAGCCCTATGGACTTCAGGGGCGATCTGATGGCGCTCAGGACGGCTGAAGGGAGCTCCACTTCGGCAAATCCACCACGCACTTCGTTCCTCGGGGTCCTGAGGCCCGATCAAACCAAATTTGCAAATTCTGCTGGGGACTCGGCGCACCCCTCACGCATGTCCTGCTCCACGCTCTACTGGGACACGGTGAAAATACGAGTGATCTGCGCTCCGAGGGCCACGAAGGGCTCAGTTCTAGACACCCCATGGCCCATTTCCTGCCCTGCACCCTACTTGGACACGTGCAAATATGAATGACCTGCGCTCTCAGGCTCCTAGGACACGCAACAAAATTATGGTTTGGGCCTCGAGGCTCCTGGGAAGTGTAAAATATACGTGAATTGCCCTTCCGTTTTGATGGCAACCCTGTCGGCGTGTGGAAGACGCTGTTCTGTTTGACTCGTCGTCGCCATCGTCGTCGTCGTCCTTGTCGTGGCCCGTCGCCGCTCCCCCCCTTTGACTGGGTCCTCCCTGCGAGCCAGCCAACGCGAAACCAAAGCGAAATTGAGCAACGTGGTAATTGAGTCGAAATGATATTGGATCCCTTCCCCCTGGGGGGCGGGGGGGGGTTAGGGGGGAGATCCGGGGGGGTGTCCTTGGGGGATCCCTGGTCAGAAGACCATCCCCACCATTGGTCCCGGGGCTCGCAAACACTCCAAACCGGACACATTGTGCCCCAAGAGGCCTCAAAGACGGCCAAAGAGGGCCTCCTCCTCTTCCTCCTCCTCCTCCTTCTCCTCCTCCTCCTCTCCACCGCCTCCGCCTCCGCCTACGCCGTCGTCTCCTCCTCCTCCTCCTCCTCCTCCTCCTCCTCCTCCTCCTCCTCCTCCTCCTCCTCTGCCCCATATCCCGAGCATGTGGCAGGGCCCTCAGTTCGTCGTCGCCGTTGTCGCCGTCGTCGTCGTCGTCGTCGTCGTCGTCGTCGTCGTCGTCGTTGTCGTCCTTCAGGGTCGGCGGCACCGGTCATAAGGCCTTCACAATACGAATGAATTACCCTTCAATTTTTTATGTGAACCTCAATTCGGCACATCCCTCACGCACTTCGTGAATGTTGGGCACTCAAGCCCTTAGCTGGCTTCCAAGACCGCCAAATTCCCCAAGGGGCGCACATACGCCCCAAAGAAATACTGCAACGATTGGTACCGATCCTCGTCGAGGCAGTATCCCTGACACCCACTGATTGCAACATCTGCGAGCAAGCTTCCCCCTGGGGGCCCGCCGTGACTCCCGCTCTGCGGGCTGAATAACGCACATACAGAGAGACAGAAAGAGAGAGAGAGAGAGAGAGACAGAAAGAGAAAGAGAGAGAGAGAGAGAGAACAACAAACAAAAAAAACAACAACAAATCTGCGACGTACCCAACCCTTTCTACGAATGTGGCGACGATGCACTGGACCGATCAATACACACGAACATGTTGAAGTACCCGCAGAACCTCACGAAAGCGGCGACACCTGTACACTTCGCAACCCCCCAGGGAGCCGCGAGGTCTCCGCCGGGTATGTGTACAACTCCACTCCGCTGAGCCTCCCAGGAGCCCACGGAAAAGGCGCAAGTTGCACAATTCGCAACCCCGACAGGGGAACCGCGAGGTCTCTGCGGGGTGTGTTTACAACTCCACTGCGCTGGGCCTCCCAAGAACCCACGAACGGGGCGACAATTACGCACTTCGCAGCCTCCAGGAGAGCCGCGAGGTCTCGGCTGGGTGTGTTTACAACTCCACTCTGCTGGGCCTCCCAGGAGCCCACGTGGCGACAATTGCGCACTTCGCAGCCTCCCAAGGAGCCGCGAAGTCTCGTCTGGATGTGAATACAACTCTACCCCGCTGAGCCTCCCCGAAACACACTAAAAACGACAATTGCGCACATCTCAGCACCCCGGGGAGCCGCGAGGTCTGGGCTGGGTGTGCTTACAACTCCACTCCGCTGGGCCTCCCAGGAGCCCACGAACGTGGCGAAAACTGCGAACTTCGCAGCCCCTCAGCGGAGCCGCGAGGTCTCGGCTGGGTGTGTGTACAACTCCACTCCGCTGGGCCTTCCAAGAGCCCACGAACGTTTCGACAGTTGCACAATTCGCAGCCCCCCAGGGAGCCGCGATGTCTCGACTTCTCGACTGAGTGTTTGCAACTCCCCTGGGCCTCCCAGGGGCCCACGAACGTGGCGACAATTACGCCCTTCGCAGCCACCCAGGGAACCGCGATGTCTCGGCTGGGTCCGTTGACAACTCCCCTCCGCTGGGCCTCCCAGGAGCCCACGAACGTGGCGACAGCTGCGCAATTCGCAGCCACCCAGGGAGCCGCGGTGTGTCTACAACTCTGACCGTGGCGCACTTCGCAGCCCCCAAGGGAGCCACGAGGTCTCGACTGGGTGTGTTTACAACTCCACTCCGCTGGGCCTCCCAGGAGCCCACGAAATTGGTGACACTTGCGCACTTCGCAGCCCCCCAGGGAGCCGCGAGGTCTCGGCTGAGTATGTGTACAACTCCACTCCGCTGAGCCTCCCAGGGGCCCACGAAAGTGGCGCAACTTGCACAATTCGCAGCCCCCGCAGGGGAGCCGCGAGGTCTCGGCTGGGTGTGTTTACAACTCCAAGCTGCTGAGCCTCCCAGGAGCCCACGAAACTGGCGAGAGCTTCACACTTCGCAGCCCCCCAGGGAGCCGCGAGGTCCCCCCTCCCAAGAGCACACGAGAGAGGCAGAGTCACAACGGGGCTGCAACGCAAGCAGGACGAAGGAGAGGAGTGAGGAGAAAGAGAGGGAAGAGGAGACAGGAGGCAGGAAGTACGGGGCAGGAGGCAGGAGGGGGGAGGAAGAAGGAGACTCGACCACAGTGCTCTATGCAAAACGAGAGCCCAACACAGGAGGATTGGGAAACAAATCCGCCGACCCCTTGGGGCTCATCGGCGTGTGAGATGCTTCCCCCTCCCCAAACCCCTCCCCAAGGAGCCCGGTCGATTTGGAGGGGGTGGGGAGGTCCCCTGGGGGCCGGCCGAACGCGTCTGGCGCGGACAGAGGGCCCCAAAACAGGCCACGAGGGCCCCTCTTGGACCGTCTGGAGGGCCTCCAGAGGCCTTCCAGACTGTCCAAGAGGGCCGCGAACGCCGAACAATCGATCCAAAGCGCTCACGCTGGCCTCTAGACGGCCCAAGGGGCCCCCGAGACGCTCCAAGAAACTCCCAAGAGGCGTCCCAAGACGGCCTCCAAGAGCAAAAGCCGTTCCATTTCCCTGGGGAGGCGTGCACTGTTTACAAATTCGCCTCGTGTGCGTTCACAACGTCCAAAGCGGCCTAAAAAGCCTCCTAGATCGCACCAGGACGACCCAAGAGGCCCCAAGAGGGCTCCCAGACGACCCAAGAGGGCCCGACGACCGCTCAAGAAGCTCCTAAGACTGTCCAGGGGGGCCCCAGGACAGCCCCAGGAGGGGGCCAAGAGGGGGAACCCCGAACGGACAT